ATATATATATATATATGTATGTATGTGTATGTGTGAATGTGTGTCTGGGTGCCTGAGCGTATGTGTTTGTCATTATAGCGGACTCATTCGCCAAGGATGAAGTCCACTTATGGCTTAGCGTTCGCAAGTCATTGTGTTAGAGAAAATCCGCTTTCAGCGCTTTAGTGAATTTACTTGAATGGGCTTTCCAACAATCACAGCTTTTCCTCCATCTTTATTGGGACTATGAGCAACGGCGAGACTAACTTATCCAATCATGCGTACTGAATACACTGTTATACGTTCATCCACTCTACACTCTGATCAATAAGCAGAATTTGCATGTGGCTGTTCATTCGAAATTATCGTCGCCAACCTGCAGAGAGAACAAACTGCGAGCAAATCGCGTATGCAAAGCCCTTCTGAATCCGCTGCCGTGATGCGTTGCATTTCATTAGAGCCGATGTCATAAAGTTTTAATCAAAGCCGTCGGCGTACGCAGAGCTGTTGAGCGCTTCTGGTCGACGACGCAAATTGGCTTCGTTTGTTACCAAAACGACCTCATAAGTGCGTTATGCTCACGCGAGCGTCACCAACTCCCTGTTCTCTGACCTTTTTTGGAATCCGAATTTTGCATTTCTGTTACTGTTGAATGCTATAGCTGACTTCCTTTTTGCTTCCATAGTTACATTGTAGAAGTTCGACGAGTTCATTCGTCGTACCATCATCACCAACTCTCTGTGTTGTGAGAATTTTTGAAATGAGAATGTTGTATTAGGTTACTCTTGAATAGTATGGCTGATTTCTTTGTTACCTGCATAGCAACACTGATGTTGGTCTTCAGTTGAGTAGAAACCTTGCATTTTAACAGGCTGTGGATGTTCAGAGTTCATCGTGCCATCGTCACTAACTCCCTCTTCTGATATTTTTTGGAATCCGAATGTTGCATTTCTATTACTGTTGAATACTATAGCTGATTTTCTTGTCACCCGCATAGGTACGGTGTAGAAGTTCGACGAGCGGTGCCATCATCATCAACTCCCAGTTCTTCGATCATTTTTGGAATCTAGATGTTACATTTCTGTTATTGTTGAATACCATAGCTATGCTCTTCAAGTCGGACGAGTTCATCGTTGACCTACTCCTATGATTTCTACTCCTGTAGGCTTCATAGCATGGCCGTATCTTTGCATCAAACTCCACTAAGAATACGGTAGTTGCCGTTAACAGGGTACTGTATGTGATTCCTTTTCTGAAAAATTGTCCATTAAATTATTTTAACGCGCTTCATCCGCCTTTCAATTAAATTTCATAAGTTTCCATTGGTTTGCTTTTTCTCACATTAATTTAACAGTGTGGTGTGCCGTGTAGCAGTTTTATCAGTTTTTTATTTAAATGCTTTATTTCCTAGAAATTTTATGGGGAAATTCTCTTTGAAGACAGAAGTTTCCTGATGACGCTAAGTTATCAATTAAGGTTGGCGTAGATGCGCAACATTGTTGGTAATACATAGATTTTCTGTCTAGCACTTTAGTCAAAGTGACTTTTAGTATCTTTTCTTATTTTGAGGCAAAATTCAGCGCCATAACAACACCTTAAGTGAGTCGATTGACCTCGTTGAAGTCGAATTTAATGAGTGTAAAAGTGGATTACTTCCGCTGTATGGAGTTGATCCAATTTTACGGTGATGACAGTATACGTTCACCTGCACTCAAATCACCTCAACCTCATCGTCCACGAATAATGATTGACTGACAAGCGCGGGGTATTAAGCGTGCGTTAACCGCCAAACGCGCTAATTAGGGGCGTCTCTCTTTTCATTGCGGGAGCTAGTGTGTCCAGCGAATTACAAAGCACAATGGCCTGACTCTGACGCTATTCATTCATTGGCATGACGTTAGTTTCCTTGACTACTTAGGAATCGATCGGCTTCATTGAATACAAAAGGTCGGAGTTCAACGGGCTAATTGGTTGAGGCTAAATTGCTGCGTCGCAACTCTTCTCCTACCACGGTTTTAGTGTTTTGATTTTCCAATATGACTGAACATCACACATTGTGAGGATCCCAGAAGACTTTCCATCTGATTCCTAATCTCCCATTCGTCGTTCAAGAAAGCTTTCGGATTTTGTGTGTGGTTTTGGCTACTAGTTGAGAATTTTGTCTTGTTTATAAATGCGGTTGTATTAGAGCGTTCCCAGGTCATCACCATAGACAGTGATCTTCCTTTACATAGAGTGGTGGGAGCCGCTCTTAGAGGAGTCTGCCACCAATTTGTTGCCGACCCTGGAGGAATCGGCCGTGGCTTGATTGGCCTGAAGTAGGGTCAAAACAGCGGCATATGCTTATTGCACTACATTTTTAACTATTTCGTTTCGTGCAGGTCTAATAGAGTTGGAATTTGGTTTTCAACAGAGTGCAACTCAAGTAGGGTTTTCAAGTAGAACCTGCGTATGTTTTTTTTTGTTCCTGTCATTTGTTTGTGGATCATTTATATCTCCTATTCGTCGTTTTGTCTCTTAGCAATCGCGAGGTTGTTAAACAGCATACATTTATTTCCATACAATAACACACATACAACACAGTAGTAGCCGACGTTTCGGCAGTTTTCAGAGCCTAGAAGGGTGTAGTGATGGTGATCATGATTATTGTTTCGAGTTCGATTTCGCCCCTGGCCAACCAAGCCCCTCATCCCTCCGGGGTCGGGAAATTGGTACGGGCCTTGTCTGGAAAAAATCTCTCTGAAATCCAGTTGGGAACGCTCCAGCGCAGCTATCTCTTCACTCCAGGGAGAGTCGATCCGACCAGCGATCCATTCAACGACATTCATGACGAATAGAAAAAGAAGTAGTACTCTAGAAAAGCCATATTTATCGTTAGAACGATTGTTCGAAGTTTTGTATAAATTTATGAAATCTTGAATTTCTAGAGTACTTTAGTTATCGAAAAACCAGCATCGTCGGGATTGTGTTAATAAGAGAAAGTAATTATGTTAAGATTGCGGAATAAGGAAATTTATTGATGGTTCAGCTGTTGACATGACGAACACTTTATGTAAAATTCTTTCAATAAATAGTTTTCTTTTTCTCAGATGTCGACCGACCAGATCGTCAGATCAGACGACAGCGTTGATCAAGTACCCAACTACGGCTTCTATTGTTCAACAGCCTAAGAGGCATGAATTGTTTTGTCCTCAATTTCCAGGGTTTTTTTGTTGTTGTGAAAACTCAACCTGAGGATGAAAGGCTAGCAAACCTACTGCTTTTTGCGCGGTTTCGAAGTGATTCCGAATTCTTTAAAGTTTTCTTTCCTTGTGTGCAGTAGTTAGATCGTTGCACTTGATCCACGGAATTTTTAAAGGGAAATTTCTTTTGTGCAGTAGAAAAGAATCATAGCGTAGTTCTGTTAAGCAAAAACCAAGTTTTATCTTTTCCGTTATGAGAACAGATGGATTGATTGCCCATGTTTCTAGGCGGATCTCAAAGAAGTCTCTAGTCGAAATGAAACCTTATTCATCGAGAAAGTTGTCGAAATGTTCAATGTTTCTTGCCGGCGCTCTTCTTGTAGCTCTCGTTATAATTGTTTTATTACTATGTAAGTTTATAAGCATTCCTTTTATTGGCTGAATATCGCACCATCTGTCTTTAGTCGACCGATTATTGATTTTCAGTGCGGAGTCCATCATATGTGTACGGACAATTGGCGCCGTTATCGACGTCGGATAGTCGAATATCGATCGATGAGACGTCTTTGAGACCGTTACCATTAGTGATTAGTCTAGGACAACGTGTAGAAGCTGATATACTGCCGCAACATATGATAACTACGTGAGTATGACTTAGATGCCTATAGATTTATCGAGTAGCACACTTTGTGGTACGTTTTCCTTTGAATAACGGAAACCTTAATAACTTCAAGTAACCTTAAAGTACACTCATTTCTCACATTTCACTTTAAAAAGCTCCAGGTTTGTTCTGATGGAAGTTCAAACGTTACCCATACGAGACAGTTGTTGAAACTTTTCCTTTTTTTTTTGAAAGTATTGATCGTATAGTGGGATAATGGAGGAGGTGAGCCTGTCACTTGGAGCCGAATTCTAAATGAGACCTATTGAAACTTGTGGTTGGACGATGCTTTTGTTGCGTTCAGTCATCCGCGAAGGAGGCCAACAACCACTGCACCAACAGAAGGATAAGTGAAGGCGCTGAACAGGGTTAGATCCCTGAGCGAATTCCATGGCTGGATGCAAAATCGACCAGTAGAAAACAAACATGACCCAAACACTATGAAGGGTCTTTTCTCTTCTAGAGCTTTGTGTACCGACCGACGGTTTAGATGGCAAGAGCTGGAAAAAATTTACGAAGTGGAGTGTTATGTCAAGGTGTGCTGTCAGCAAAACATGGTTTCCTTTTAGTTGAAATGCAGTTTTAATTGAGTTAAACATCATCTGTATCACCTGTTGTCCTGGTGATCGTCGAGTGACTCGAGCGGGCGCCACCAAATCTTCCATTTTTCCCTGTCGTGTGCAAGAGTAGCTCAGTGGGTTCTGCTCGCTCTAGGAACTCGTGGAGCAGCATATCTTTCTTCCAGACTTTTCGAGAAGAACTCTGACTCATCTCATCTAAAAAAACTAATCGGGTTGATAGTCTTCCTGCAGTGCGTTTAACATCCCGAAGAACCCAGTCACTAACGCTTCTCGCCCATCAGTTCTCATTCATACGCATTACGTGTCCGGCCCACCTTATCTTCGACTGTTTGGCGCATAGAACGGCATCTTTGATTTTTGATGGTTGACGCAGATCGGAGCTTGAGATCCCTTCCCTTACTTGCGTGATATGGGATGCTCCTAGCAGCGTCCTTTCGACTGCGCGTTCAATAACGCTGAGTGACATTTCATCCTGCTTACGCAGCGACCAGGTTTCTGACGCATACGTTAGGGCAGGAAATACCGTTGAGTCGAAAAGGTGGGCACGGAGTCGGATGTTCTTTGTTCTCTTCACTATATCCTCGATGCTCTTGAAAGCTCCTCAAGCCGCTCGTTTCCTTCTGCTCAGTTTTGGAGCTAAGTCGTTCAACGTGTTGATTTCCCGACCTAGTTAGACATAACTGGACCATTCAGAGATATTCGTTCCGTTGAGCGTGAATGCGGCATACGAAATCGATCCGTTCCTCATGAACATCGTTTTTGTGAGATTTAGTCGAAGTCCAGTCTTTCTGCTTGGTGTTATAAGAACGATGACATCAGCGAAGCGAAGATGGTATAACTGCCGACCATCGATTTTCATGTTATTCGAATGTTATTATTCCATATTATTCCATTCCAATGTTCGTATGACTTTCTGGAGAGTGGCGGTAAATAATTTTAGCGAGATGGTATCGCCTTGCCTATCCCCTCTTTTGATGTCAATGTTAATATCGTTGTAGAATGGTGATATCTTGGTTGTGAAATTTTTGTACAGCTCACGAAGGGTCTTTATGTACTGAGTAGGGACTCCTTGACTATCAAAGGCTTTTAAGACTGCTTCTTTCTCAACTGAATTAAAGGCCTTCTGTAAATCGATGTAAGTGAGACAGAGCGGTCATTTGTACCCTCGCGATATCTCAATGAACCTTGTTACCGTGTGGATATGGTTCATCATACTAAATCCTTTTCGAAACCCTGCTTGCTCACATAACTGTCCTTCGTCTAGTACTCTGTCAATCCTGTTTAGGATGACTCCAGTGAAAAGTTTGTAGACGACAGACAACAGGCAGATTGGGCGATAGTTGCCGATATCGCGTAGGTCACCCTTCTTGAACAATAACACGGTCTTGCTGGTCTTCCACTGAACAGGGACATTGCATTCAGACAGGCAACGTGTGAAGAGTCAAGCCATTGCGTTTACGAGGACTGGCGGAAGGTTCTTCAGGTGTTCTGGTTTTATCCTGTCTGGACCTGGTGCAGTTCGAATTTTTTCCCATCGAAATGGCATGTCAGATTTCGGAAGGGCGAACCGGTAGTACAACATGTCCATCCTCCTTCTTTTCATATGACGGAAGGTGGACGGAGCTATCGAAGAGATTTGAGTAGTATTCGTGAATGATTTTTTCCATTGCCTTTCTGGACGCTGTAACTATTCCGTCTGGGCGTCGGAGTGCAATCATCTTCGTCTTGTAATTGGCAAAGCTTCGGTGGGCTTTGCGAATGCTTTTCTCGGCCTCTGCAGCTTCGACCATTACTAGTGCTCTTCTCTCTTCAAGGTCTTCTTTTATTACTTGTCTGCATTGTTTTGCAAGTTCGGACGTTAGTTTGCGGTTGCCTGCAGCTCGTGCGTTTCACCCTGGTGTATTAGCTCGGGTGTTCCTGGAGAGAAACGTCTCTTGGTAGCCTTCTTACTCTCAGCTTTCATAGCGCTAACGTGAAGATGTTTGAATGAGCCGATCGTATTCTCCGATTAATTGAGTTTAGTAAGGAACGAAATAGTTTGTAATTTTGAAAAACCAATGTAGGCTTACAAATAGGTGCAATTGAGTTGTTGTCGGCACAGATAGCACAGTGATAGAGCTTTAAGTACGCACAAACCCCTGATTTGATACCGGCTCTGACCAACTGAGCCTCTTAACCTTCCCGGATAGGGAAATTGGTATCTTAGACTTGTCTGGCAAATCTTTCGTTTTACTATATAATGCTGGAGAGTGTTTGTGATGCAGATTTGGAAATGCCCTAGCGCGGCAATCCTAGGGTTTCACGGAGAGACGATTGTACAAGCATTCAACGACATTCATGAGGAAGGCAAAATCTTCATAGTTTTCGAATCCACGTGCAAATCGAAAGACATTCGTAGGTGATGGATACAAAACAATGGATGGAATAAAATAAGTGGTGGGATTGGCAGAATATGTGATGCGAGTGAAGGAAAAGTAAAAGACAGTCATTTCAAGAGGTTTTGCTGAGGACCTATGATGTTCTCCTTATTTTTTTTTACCAGTTTAACTCTAGATATTTGGAGCGGATCCACTTGACAAGGTGTCTTTTCAAAGTCAAGGATGGATTTTCCATTAGGAATCTTTCTAAATAAGCAATTACTAGTATTTTCCGTAGTTTTATTCATTCAAACTTTATACCCTGTTTTCTTGGTGAGCAAACGCGAGGTTGTTAAGAGCAAGATTTATTTAGTACAATATTGGCTGACGTTTCGGTGGTTTCGTGTTCTTCAGAGCCTGGAAGAGTCAAATTAATATGGGATGCACCCAGTCAATATGCATAAATGTCTGTTTACCTTCCAAGCTTTGAAGAAGACGAAACCGCCGAATCGTCAGCCATTGTTGCACTGAATAAATCTTACTGTAAACCACCTTATGTTTTTTCATCAGAAAAACAGTGTATTGTTGACTGATTCCGAGATGAAAATAGAGTTGGTCCTGGATTTACGCCATGTCGTCTATACTTTCAGCGAGTTATTCATCGCACGCGCAGGTCGTGTTGTGTTTAACGTGACTGTGGGCGCTGGTACGCGGATGGTACTGCTGGGTCGGCATGGAGTCATCCCGTCACTGTCACTACATGACTTCTACCATCCGATTAGGGCTGATAGACTTGCGCAACCTAGTCCGAGTCATAGCATTGATACCGTACGACATAAACGAGAAACAATAGCAGAGATACTGGTAGGTGTAGATGAACTTAAAATTAATATGCAGATTGCGAAACTGTGAAAACTGAAAATAGAACTTCTATAATGCTGAGATATTTGCAAAGCTCTGGACCGCAAGTGTCTGCGGTGGGGAACGAACGCGCTATTATCGTTTCCGGGGAGTAACGCGTTCACCATCATACCATGCGGATCTTTCGTTCCGCCTGTCTCTCAGCTAGTTCTATCTGAAAATGTACTAACTGTATTCATCCCGACTAGTGCTTCCCAGATCAGTATCGTTGACGGTTGATTGCCGATAGCGCCTGTAGGTCAATAAGACGGCTGATAAACAGACAAAACGAAGGACTCGCATCTTGTGGTGGTGAACGCGTTAGTCTCCGAAAGGCTAGAGTCGTGTTCGATCCCCACCACCCACTTCAGGGGTCCGGAGTTTTGCAAATATCCCAGCTATGGTTATATTCCACGTAATCTCCGGCAATTAAAAATTAGTAGGCAGTGAATAAAAATTGGCGGCATTATAAAAATAGATTGTTAATATCTTGTACTGGTAGGAATATTCTGTTTACCGTCTAGAACGTAGATTATTCTGACTGTGCCTAATATTTGTTAGTGAAGATCATGAATCAGTTTTTCTTCAGGCTCCGAAATATGCCATTTTTGAACACTTTCTCGTTGATGGACTTTGGTATTTAAGCTTAATTAATGAGCGAAATCGGGTGAGTTATCAATGAAATCAATGAATGTTTACCAGCTGACGACTTAGAAATAGATTGCACTTTTGTTCAGTTAGAAAATAGGATAATGTCTGTACAGCCTGGTGTTTATGTTCCCTTTCGTAGGTGGAGCCGATCAGCCTGATTGCGTCTATGCTGATAGCTCCGTCTGATGGATCTGCCGACGGCTCGGATTTTCCGTTAGTACGATGTGAAGCCGAATGTAATGGTCATGGTGAATGCCTTCCTGGTGGACGATGCCGCTGTACTTCTGGATACACAGGAGAGGCTTGCGAGGAACGTGGGTAAAAAAAACTATTTGGAAACCTTTTTATTTACTCCCTACTATAATTTTTAACGGCAGGGTATCATGTGAAATACAACTAAGATGATGCTGAGATATTTGCAAAACTCCGAACAGCAGGTGTCTGCGGTGAGGAACGAACGCGCTATTGTCCTTTCCCGGGGAGTAACGCGTTCACCACCACACCATGCGGGTCCTTCGTTTCGCCTGTCTCAGCCTTTTCTATTGAACGGCGCCATCAGCAATCACCAGCGCGTTCGTTCTCCACCGCAAACACCTGCGGTCCGGGGTTTTGCAAATATCTCAGCATCATCTTAGTTGTATTCAGAAATGGTTTAAATGTTTATGCGACCCTTCTTATCCCTTTTTGCTGGTCAAAAACCATTACTTTCGTTTTTATGCATTTCTGTAGAAAGGAAAAACGGTATTGCTACGTTCTTATTTGGAATCTCGACCTGTTTCTATCTCTCAGTTATTTTGTTTTTTCATGTGATTCCTACACACTATCTCACTCTGTTATCCATTACGAAGTACAATTCATTTGCACTAATTAGCATTTTTTTCATTTCAGCCATCTGTCCCGTGGTCTGTAGCGGTAACGGCGTGTTCTCAGGAGGTGCGTGTGTGTGTCGGCCTGGATTTAAAGGAAAGGTAAGCTTTAAAAGACATCTATGGTTTTTCTTTGTTTGCAGATTGCCTATGAGCATTTGTATACTGTAGGAATGTGATGTGCATGCGCATTGGTGCGAAATCGCTGACTGTAGCGGACACGGGCGATGTGGCGACGAAGGAATGTGTCATTGTGATAGAGGTTGGACTGGAGACGGTTGTGAATTGGTGAGAGTTTTATTCATAAAACAAAAAATTCTTGCTGAAATAAAGTAATAAAATTCGATCCTTATAAGTTTTATGTCGAACATAACCTCGTTTCATGAGATGAAACCCAGTATAGCCAGTAATAGTTCTGAGGTACTGTAATGTTTTCCATGGAAACAGGCCATGTTAGCGCACAAGTGAACATTGGCTGGGGTGTCTTACATCAGGAAAGATTTAATGAGATTTTTATATCGTTATTTCACATGAGCTGTCATCACATCTGCTGTGCATATTCCAGCACTTACAATTCCTTTTATTCAATTCGTTTTCCTAGCATTCATCGTCCACTATGGCCTCTGAACATTCCACATATTGTTTCCGCTGCTGCCTGAGGATTTCTTCTTTATGAATACCATAGAGTGCTGGTCGAGTCGATTCACCCTGCAACTTGGAGATAGCCTAGCTAATGCGCTTCCACATGGACTAGAAGAGAGCGCTATAGCGGGGATCGTACTAGCACCTTTTGCTTCCAAACCAACGGCACCACTAGCCAATACCCTCGTCCCGCTCTAGTGTGCTGTCCATGCACTAGTGCGTTGTCCCCACCATAGTGCACTTCCCCGCCCGAGTGCGCAATCCAGCTGCTAGGCGATCATGCTCTAGGCCTTTATATCCTATGAAATAGTAGGACAAAGGTCTCCGCGTTGATCAATCCCTAAGGGATGCACCATGCACTCTACTCCATTAGGCATCGTTTGGATGTGATTGAATGCATATCTGGCCGTTACAATGACACGCGGTGGCCTATCGATGTATGAAACTAGTGCTGCTATCCTCCCAGTCAAGTCTGGTACCAATTTGCCGACCTTGGAGGGATGGAAGGCTTGGTGGGCCGTGGGCGCGGGGATCGATTCCACGTGTGTGTTGCAGGGCGTCTCTGACCATTGCGCCACACGCTCCCTTGTGCCTTATAACTGAGGGAAATTTGAAGATGTTAGTAAAGCAAAACATTGGGTACTGGGAAAGGTCTAGGAAAGATGATATTCACGATATGGTGATGGAAACTCGACTTTGAAAGCATGAACGTGTAGATGATGTATGGGTCTTTATGGAATTTTGACGGTGTATTTCCGTTTCTGGAAGAACCAAATGACAACATTCTCGTTGTAGCGTGCGTGTCCGCAGCCAACATGTTCGGACCATGGTGTCTGTGTAGATGGACGTTGTTACTGTGCCGAAGGATGGAAAGGAGAGAATTGTTCTATAGTAAGCATTTCAACGACACTATGTTTAACGAAGAAATGACCACTTATTACAACTATTTTGCCTCTTTCCCACTCTCGCTTTCTATTTCTACGTCCCCATCTGCGTTCTTCTTTCTATTTTTCCTTTTTCCTTGACCTTCTACACGCAACTTTTTATGCAATCAATAAAAAATTGGATTTCCTGTCTTTATTCGCTCTCACTCACATTTACTAACTAATGTGGCTGTTTTCAGCCAATCATCGAGTCAACGCCCGTTGTCATGCACGCTCCCACCGTAGCTTCAGCGCTTGTTCCTATGATCGATACCGTACTACTGTCTTCCTCTGAAAAACAGCGCCAAGTCAGTCGTGAAGTGGAGCATCGGAAATTGCCTCAGTCGAGCAAGGTGAGCAGTAGTTCTACAGTATCTGCTGGAAGTAACCATAAATTCGCCATTAATCGACAACTGTAAGCGAACGTGAGCAAAGAATGAACCCATAGGTTTCGTGTTACGTGACCGTCTCCACGTTGTCTTTACGCCATGACGGCGTGGAGGGTGTTTTTGGGGAAAATGATTCTTGGGGCCTCGCAGGTTATGAGGCAAAATACAACCACTATGATCTTGAGATATTTGCAAAACTTCGACCCAAGGTCAGATTCGAACCAGCGATTACTCCTTCCGAGGGCTTACTTGTTACCCACTGAAGCCCTTTGTTTCCGTTGCTCTTTGCCAACATTCTCAGTTGTCGTAGTTAATGTTGCACCGTATGATCCCTGTTCACATTATTGTTTCTTTTGTTTACGTTTATGTTCTTCGTGCATTGAAGGTTTTACAACCACTGTCGAAGTGCGGCAATCATGGTAAATTGCTGGGAGTTGCGTGCCAATGCGATCGAGGCTGGGAAGGACAGAACTGTGAGAGAGGTAGCAGGCATTCCATCATGTTACAATGATTTAGTCAATTTCACTTATTTAGAGGTTTCTCGACGTTTTTTGTACTGTGCATTTAACCCTTTTTTTAACCAAATTTGTCCTAAGTAATGAATTTGCCTCTTGTCCTCATATTGATTGCAGTGGCAAGTTTTTTCTTCATCGATTTCCGTTTTCAGAAGTTTGTCCTACCTGTGAACACGGTGTTTGTATCGCTGGTCGTTGTATATGCGACTCAGGTTGGAGAGGAGATTTGTGTGACCAGGCTGAGTGCCCCATTGGTAAGGATATCACTAACTTTGTTTAGGTGTTGCCGATAGTTTTACTGTCGCTGATGGTAGCGTTAGGTAGAAAACTAGCTGGGAGAAATGCAAAGCAAGAGTCGAAGTGGTGCAGTGTAGTACGCGAGCCCTCGGAATGGGTAATCGTGGCTCGATCTGCCCTGGGGTCCAAATTTTTCGAATATCGCAGCATCACTGTGGTAGTTTTAGTGTCTGTGTTAACGTATAAAGGATGAAAGAGAAAAAATATATTGAGTTATGAGGGCATATTTTCGTTTCATTCTTACTTTCTTTGTTTTGTTTCCTATTTCCAATGAGCTGTTTAAACACTAATACTTGAATCAAACGGTAATTTGCTCTTAGAACTGTGATTTCAAGTACAGGCTTGACAATAGTTCAGGCAATCGAAAGGTGAAGATGAACTTAGTCTCGTTATGAATCGTTCATGCTTCAGGTTGTGCTGAGCATGGGAAGTGTCTGCAGAACGGTAGTTGCTCTTGTGATAAAGGCTGGAATGGCGGGAATTGCTATATCGGTTTGTATTACTATCATGTTTGCCAATTATTCTCTCATTTCTTAAGGGTTGGTCCTACGCAAGCCCTTTTCAGTGGTACTTTTATAAAAAGAACTTGGTTCTAATTTTTCAAAAATATAATTACCATTCTCGAAATAAACTGTGGTTCTAACAAGGGCGAGTGTAGCACAGTGGTCGCAGGCGCCATGCAATACACATCGGTTCAATCCTGCGCTCCAGGATCACCAAACCTTGTATCTTTCTGGGTTCCCCAAATTGGTATCTGATCTGTCTGGAAGGACAGCAGCGTTGACTAGATACATCGGTAGGCCACCGCGAGTCATTGTAAAAGCCAGATAAGCATCCAGCCAGTTCCAAACGATTCTTGATGAAATCGAATGCATAGCGTATACATCAGGGATAGATCAACCCGAGAGCTTAGCTTTTTTGAAATCTTTTTTATGGTCTAATCATGAGTGTCACTGATGTATTGTTCGTTGAAGATGACAGCTTTCGGAGAAATGGTTTATTGTTTATCCTTTCCTAATTATCCACCTGTTTTATGAATCGTTTTCGTCTACCCGTTCTTCCTTTTCTTTCTGCTATAGTTTGCTCTTTCCGCATCTCGCATGTTTGTAAAAGTCGTGGATATCACTGGCTAAGTTTTTCACAGTTACAGCATTGAGAACCAGTTGATATGGGGACCTTGTTGGCCTTTAACCCTTGGACCAGATGGATGAATATGGAGTGGGTAACAAAGTTAGAAGTGTAAAACGTCTGCACGTTGTGCTACTTTTTGTTCTGTTTATATTACAATAACTAAGTGGCCTTCAGCAGTCTAAGAAATTGTGTAAATGTGTGGCGAAATAGTGTAGTGTGATTTGTTAAAGCTTTCAGCAGACCTAAACTTACAGACGGATGCCCATTGTCGTGTTCCCACCATGGTGAGTGTCGCTGGGGTTCGTTACCAGGCAGTGCTCCGGATGGATGGCGCTGTGAATGCCAGCCGTCTTTTGTCGGAGAGGACTGTGCAGTGCCAGTGGAGACAGATTGCCAAGATGGATTGGATAACGATAACGGTGAGAATTACGGATTGACAGGCTGTAAACTAACTCATTGCCATCAACTTCAACCATGGGTTTGTTTTGTTAAGGTTTCATCACACTTGGATTTTTTGATGCGGTTTTGTTCAGTGTTGATATCATTGCGTTACTGAACGTAAAACATAGGTTGAAAGTAACATGAGTCTATCTAAACCCAAACTCTGATGTTTTGGGCGGGCAGTGGTGTGGAATCGGGTGAAGTTGAAAGAATATGAGAGATTGCTTCTATTTAGATGTTTACTGTGGCGTAAAAAGGGCGTGTGTCGCGTAGTGGTCGGAGGAGCTGCGCAACACACACGTGGAATCGATTCCCGTGTCCACTGCCCACCAAGCCTTCCATTCCTCCGGGGTCGGCAAATTGGTAGCAGATTTGTCTGGCAGGATTGCAGCACTGGTTCGATGCATTGGTAGGCCACCACGAGTGATTGTAAAAGCCAGATATGCATTCAGTCACGTCTAAACGATGAATGAAGTCGAATGCATGGCGCATCCCTCAGGGATTGATCAACGTCGAAACCTCCATTCTTTTTTACTGTGGTCTATTGCTTTATTCCTCTTAACGGTTTACCTCCTCCTCGTGGCTGGAAGGTCTTTCTGGATGTCGGGCTGCGATGTACAACGGGAGATTCATCTCCTTAGCAGGTCCTTCCAAGCCGAGAAGGAGATCGGCATATTCATCAGGAAGTCCAGCTAAGAGTAAACCAATACCAGGCTAAACCAGCAATACTCCGAGAAATGGAAGTTATGCAGGGTCTCGCACAACTAGTGAGGGCGGGCAATCCAAGCAAGCATTGCCTTATTAGTTCATTATTGCATATGGTTCTAAGATCACAAACACAAAGAAAATACATAGGCAAGAAAGTGGCCATGAAAACTGGAAGATGTTTCTGTTTCTAACTATTCCGAATACATAGGATCGTGCCAATTTCAGATGGCTTAGTTGACTGTGATGATCCGGAGTGCTGCGCATCGTCGGAGTGTTCTCGAGAGGCGGTCTGTGCCGCTGTACCAGCACCGGTTGACGTATTACTGCGACTACCATCAGTACAAAACGCCAATTTTTTCCAGGTGCGTCTTAGAGTCACTGAAATTTGTCTTAGTTGTAGTGTAAAGGTGTTTATAACAGCATCATTTGTTTCTCACAAGGTATTTTCTAGTTTTAGTCAATTGTTAGTTGAATTCCAGCGTGTTTCTTTCATCATTCGAAACGACTCTGTCCAAAGCTATTCAGATCATTCCCAATTTAATGGAAGGTACGCCGTGCAATTTTTCGCGGTTTTTAAAGATATTTTTTATGTGTAGGGTGTTACATTAATAGATCTGTGATAATATGAGCAATTCGTAGTAGTTGAGATCAAACTATGCCACATTCTAAAATGCGTCGTCTCCTCATCAATCGAGGGGTTATACAACAGACGTTTACTTCCGCACAAAAAATACAAACGACACAGCTGTAGCTGACGTTTCGACAGTATCGCCTTCTTCAGAGCCTGGAAGGGTATCTTGAGGCTCTGAAAAAGCCTGAACATACCCTTCCAAGTTCTACTGAAGCTCCGAACATATCCTTCCGGCTTCTACTGAGACTGAACGCACTCTTCCAGCTTCTACTGAGGCCCTGAAGAAGCCTTAATATACCCTTCCAGGCTCTGAAGGAAGCAATACTGCCGAAGTGTCAGCGACTATTGTGTTTCATGTTTTTCGTGCGGAAGCAGACGTGCACTGTATAACGACCTCGCTATTGCTGAGAAAGAAAACGCGCATTTATAATCCACTGCTGAGGTTAATAGAAAGTCGATTCTGGGAACTATTCCATGTTCTTTTGAAAACCTGTATCACTTATGTTCTTCATCGTCGATTCGTTCGAACGATCCTAAGTAAACTTTACCTTTGTTAATACTTTCTACGTGCCAGGATTGCTAACTGGACTCTGCGCACTTGAAAGTCGCGAAGAGAAGCATACTGTTTGTAATGTCTTTTATTTCTGTTTTTGGGCAGTAGTTGCTCACAGACTTTGTGGGTTGTTGTGGAGGGCTGGGCATGATCATGGATGGGTTATTTGACTCTACTAAAGTTGACGTTGACCTGTTCGTCGGATTCAAAGCAGAACTGCATCGCTTGTATTGGATAGTCACAAAGTTCTTGTCGTTTTTCCATTTTTCTTCCGAATTTTGCCGTATAATTTTTGAGTGCGGTTTCATATTTTCCTATTCCTATCGTATACCGTGTTGCATGGGCCTAGGGCTTGGTAAATAGACGCATGATTGCTCACTCTCATTGGTGGTGCTAGTGAAGTGGCGATCGAATTAGTAAACTGCTGTCGAATCTGCATTGCTAAGTTGCGCAAGGAAATTAGATGCATCCGTTTACAATAACAAGGAAAGTGTCTCGTCATTGGGTTAGGTACTAATCGGTACTTAATGGTTAAGTTTGAGGCGATTGTGGAGAGATTTTTGCTTTTTTTTTTTATTTTTGAGATTTTTGCTGTTGTTCGGCATTAGTATTGATTTCATCCGTTGTTGAAGTTTTTATAGAATATACCATAGGATAACCTTATATTTTCTTGTTTTATTTAGCCCATCTGAAAAACCTCTTATATTGTTTGTTCCATTCAGCATCATATCAGTAATTCGTGGTCGTGTCGTTTGGAACGGCGGAGCAAGCACTGAAAGCTCGAGTACCGTTGCACTGCCAGGAGTCAGGGTAAGGGTGTAATTCTCCGATAGTTCCCTATGAAATTATTTTTAGTGAAAGTCATGAAGAGAATGAGTGTCAGTAAAATAAATGATGTAAGGAATAGGGTTCTTTTTTACTGCGATAAGATAGTTCTTACCAATGTAATAGAACTAGTTTTCTAATTGTTAGCGAAACTTTCCATGGCATTCTTCCTAAATTCTCTGTTTTTCTCAACCACTCTGCGTGCTTCCTTTAAACTCTAGTAGGACTCCGACAGAAAGTAAAGAATTATTACCGTTCGAACAGAACGCTAACAACTATTGGTGAACACTACTTTGTTTAACATCGATTTCAACTTTCGAAAAAGTTTCTCTCTTGCAAAGGGCAAATACCTGCGGTTATGATTGTGAAGAAACCGTTATTGATAAATATTGCATTATTGGTGAAAAATCAATTTGATGTGGACGAATATACTCATCGTTGTTTATAAATGACTAGGTCTCTGATGCGGTGAACCCTTTGTATGGCTTCACACTTACTCGTCTCGATGGGGAGTTCGATCTGCTTGTGAACGGGGGTCGTACTGTGAATCTGCAGTTTTTGAGAAGCCCATTCCAGGTTTGTAATCAATACATCTTTCACAAATTTAAAAGTGAAATATTTGGATGCAGCATGAACTGTGCACATTTCCTTTCCTCAAACTGGTTTTTACTACTAATCATTATCTTAACGCTTTTATTTACTGCCTTTTTCTTCTTAATGGCAGGGTATGTTGCGAAATATAACTCGTATGAAATGCTGTGATATTTGCAAAACTCCGGACCGCAGGTGTATGCAGTGGGGAACGGACACGCGCTGTTGTCCTTACCGGGGAGCAGCGCACTTCACCACCACACCATCCGGGTCCTTCGTCTTGCTTGTCTCTCAGCTAGTTCTATCATAGTTTTATCATAACTAAGCCTCAGCTTAACTGGGTTCAATGCCGATTTGGGCTCCCCAGATCAATCCTGTTGACGGGTGATTGCTGATGGCAATAAGATCGATAGAACTAACTGAGAGACAAGCCACACGAAGGACCCGGATGGTGTGGTGGTGAAGTGCGCTGCTCCCCGGTAAGGACAACAGCGCGTGTTCGTTCCCCACTGCTTACAGCTTCGGTACGGAGTTTTGCAAATATCTCAGCATTTCATGTTAGTCATTGTTGTTAACTTCATGTTTTTTTAAGTCTCTGGAACCAACTTTATCTACCCAATTTTACAATATAATTTCTATTTTAGAGAATCAAGCGAAGCGTTTATGTGCCACCTAACGAGATTGTCGTCGTCGATCCTATAAAAATGGTGCGAGAAGAGGTTGGAATTGTATTATTTATCGGAGATTACTCATTTCTTCTTTTTTTTGCGGAAGACATCTACTAACTGAGAGAAAGGCGAAACGAAGGACACGCATGGTGTGGTGGTGAACGTGTTACTCCCCGGAAAGGATAACAGTGCGTTCGTTTCCCACCGCATACACCTGCGGTCCGGAGTTTTGCAAATATCTCAGCATTATAGGTAGTTATATTCAGGGAATAGTTACCATATTTATTGGCCCGATTGCGGTCCAAGCTGCTCTCCTTCTATTTAGTTCCTCCTTCATTTTGTTTTCCATGTTCATTGATCGCCCAAGGTGTACGTACGAGGTGCTCTCTGCAATGAGGGAGCCACTCAATTCAATTTCTTCGCCTTCGCACCATGGGTTTTTCATGAACTGGGTCTTCTTTCAATTTGTGCGAGGTCCGATCTTTTTCCCGCTTCGTTGAGCTCGTTAATCACCGTCTCTCCTTCGCTGGTGCTTCTTGAGGAAATGGCGATGTCGTCGGCAAAACGAAAGTTTGGTAGGAATATTCCATCAATACGTATGTTTTTCTCATCCAAATCGAATCACTTCATTATCCACTGCAGTGCGGCGCAGAGCAGCTTTGGCGATATTGTGTCGCCCTGTCGAACCACTTTTCTTATGGGTATGGTAAGAGGTCGATGGAAAAGCTGTATTTTTGTGGGTCCACTTTTTGGTCGACAAGCGATGATAGGATTGCATTCGTTTCAACACTGTCAAACGCTTTTTCTTAGTCGGCGAAGGTAAGGACTTGAGTCAAGTGGTATTCCCGACAAACTTCGATGACCCTGGACACAGTATTGTCCATGCAGCGAAATCCTTTTCGAAATCGTACTTGCTCGACTGGTTGCGCCTCACCTAGAGTCCTCGATATGCGCGAGAGGATAATCTTCGTGAAGAGCTTGTACGGAACACTCAACAAGCATATGGGACGATAGTTACGAAGTCCCACCACCGACTTTCTATTAACCCCGGCATTGTTAAAGTAATTCTTCGTTTTGTTGTTGAGCAAACGCGAGGTGTTACTTTATTCTTTATTCACGATAACTGACTTTTCGGCAAATTTCGCCTTTCTCAGAGCCTGGAAAGGTCAAGTTGACTGCAATCTACCCGGCCCAACACCTCCATAACCAAACAGAGAAAAGGCTAAACCAAGATTTCAATCACATTGAACACAGAATAGTTTCTTTGCACACTCACCCTTTTCTATAAGGCTTCCACTGAGTATGTCGCGTGGAGACCAACGGCACAGAATTCGCATGGAAGCGTAATGTTCCCTTCCCATCAGAATAACAGTCTTAAATACTGCCCACTATCACGCGTGATAATGAGGAATTCTTCCTTGCAGTTCATTTTCGGATTCCTGGAATTAATCCAGAATGCCTCGAGAGTTTTGCGGCTTGTGTTCTCTATTCCTGTGCGAGGATCGTGACACGTACTTCAAAGTCCTCCACGATATGTCTCTGTCCTCTACGTGCCTAGTGGGGTATTTGGTTCACGTTTGACGACTAAGTGTTCTTTTATGCGGACGCAGAGTGGTGTACCCGTTTTGTCAATGCATTGTTATCCGCACCCCTTACAGGAAATCAATGTACGTGTGAGCTGATGCAATCACCGTGTCTACCATTAGGGCAAGTTGTGTAATTTTGCTCTGCACATAGACGGTCATAAAGGTGGTTACGAACTAGCTGGCGCCTGAGAGTACTCGGTGGTATTTCAACTACGTTTGCCGAATTCTCCAGACCCGCCGTTCTTAAGCAGCGTTTTGTAGCTGCACTTACATCATTTGAGATGAAGGGTAGGATAAACGGGTCCTTTTTATCGCTAGAGTTGTCGTTTGTGAGCCTAGAATTTCCTTTACACCTATCCCGAGGTACAGTTTCGTAGCCATTAGAAATGGCTATTTGCCGCGCCAAGTTCCGGTACTCCTCTCTCTGCTCTCTTCTCGTGCACACGTTGGTTGCCGTTCGAAACATGTTTCTTACAAGCGCCCTTTTCGTGTGAGGGGTGAGAGGAGAGGTAATGAGCCAAGATGTTTTTACTACTTGTCTTTCGGGACCACTTCGTAATGTAGCCATTTTCTGACAGGTTAATTTGGACGTTCAGGAATGGAAGCGAGTTTTCTTTCTGTTCCTCTCGGATTAACTTAATATATTTTGACTGTTCGTTCAACAACTCGAAACATTTGTCCATTTCCTCGTGTGTTGAGCAAAGGACAAAACAGTCATCTATATATCTACAGTAGAGTAACGGCCCGAGGTCGGTCACTAGTGCTTTCCTATTAGACATAAACGGAATGGCAAGACTTGGTGCCAGATGCGGTCCTATTGCGAGCCCTCTTATTTGCGTGTAGTATTTTCCAGACTATCGGAAGATTGAGCAGACCAAGCATTCTTTTAAGAGTGCCATCAACTGCTCTGTCATGAAGCCATAGATGTTTATTACTCCTTCGTGTTGTATAAGGAGTTCGAGTATGGTTTGCACAGTCGAGTCATTCTATACGTTTGTATAAACGGCGGTAACGTCGAAGGACTCCATCACGTACGCGCTGCTGGGCCGCTCAGTACGCAGACAATCCTGAAACATTTGGGTATTCGTACGATGGGCTGGAATGTGTTTCAACAACTGGTTAAATATTAGGGTTAAAAACCATGTTATCCTATCCGTTGGCCCGTCTACACAGCTAATGATAGGTCTAACCTTAAACAATGATGGATCGGTAGACGCAAGATCATCACTGGACACTAACGAATTTTTATAAGCAAGTACAAGACGGGACAAGTTGGTAAGTCAACTTTTAGTTGAGAGATGTCTTTGCACTTCAGTGAGGTTTGAGCTGTATCTTTTCGCGCGATGGTGGTTAAGGACTTTGAAAGTTTCATTCGTAAACATCCGAAATTTAACATCAACTTCATTAATGGGCTCTTGTTGTCTAAAGAACGGCTGAGGAAATGGTGCTAGGTAGAGCCCTACTTGGTGTTGTTCGCACCTATTTTGAGTTTCAACTATAGCTTTTTTGCGGAGTCTATCTTGAAATTCATGTAAACTACATGCGACTCTACGCAAAGCTGCCTCAGAAATGGGTTCATGTGGTGAGAAACTCGGTCCCAATTCTAATAACAAGCGCTCACCGTCAGGGAGAGTCATGCCTCCTAGCACGGTTAGCCTTGAGTTTTCTTGCACATTACTTATCCTACTGTGACCTGTTTGATGTTCGTTGGCGGTGTTTCTGTATGCTCTCGAAGCCGTGTTATGCGATTTACTCAAAAGGTCTTCGAATTTTTTCCGCAAAATTACCTTAGGATTAAACATAATAGAGTTGCAGACTCACCCACTATTCTCCTCCAGAGACGGCCCTCCAATTACTAAGCACAAAAGTTTTACATTGTCTCGCACTTCTTCCACTTGGCGAAGGTTTGGGTTTTTCGGCTTTGTAGACGGGTGCGTAATATTCGCAATTCGATGTTTTAGACAGCGGCGGAGAAAGTGTATTGACTGTCGAGCTAAGACGATCTATTGTCTCAGTGACAGCTCTTCTTTTAGTTATATACTTATAGTTACGAAGATCTCTTCGGTCACTTTTCTCGGGCAGGATGACCGTGCGCGACGTCCTTCACTGGTCTGGGATTTTTTCTTTTTGAAGGTAGCCTGTCATATGATCTGCGAGGAGTACATGTAAATTGTGACCTCTAGCTCTAAGGAAATCGGCAGTGATATTATCGGGTCTTGGAGCTGTGCCTCTGTGCCTCTTTTCATGCTTTCTATCGCAACTTGAACCTCCGACGGAAGAATTCCAGGTGGTTTTTCTCCAGTGGGGATATTAGGGTCCGGGAAGGGGATTGTGGAACGGAAAAGGTTGGTGTAGAACGTTTCCGTTATTAATTCCATATCATAGCGAGAAGTTTTGACGATCCCATCTTCAATGCTAACTTATTATTTACTGCCTGTTCTTTTAAACGGCAAGGTATTTTGTGAAATATAACTATTATAATGCTGAGATATTTGCAAAACTCTGGACCGCAAGTTCTATAGTGGGGAACGAACGCGCTATTGTCCTTTCCGGAGAGTAACGTGTTCACCACCACACCATGCGGGTCCTTCGTTTCCCTTGTCTCTCAGCTAGTTCTATTGATCTCTGTCATCAGATCCCATTTTCATTCATCAGGGTTGACAGCGGAACATTATAATCACACAAGTGCCGGCGGCATCTTTTCAGACTGCTTCTTTTCTCTGCTGCTTCGAGTAGTTTCTTCTGCTTGCACCATTGTAGATTTTTCTGCAAAGCTCTTCTGCAGCTGGAATTCATTTTTAGTGTTGAAGTAGGATCAAGCTTCAGTTTCCTTCTCTTTTCGAGCAACTCCTTAGTAGTGATGGAGATGCGATCCGATCTTCTTGCTTGAGGAACTGAGACGAATTCGGCACAGCTTTTCAGTCCTTCGATAAGCAGCTCGTAGTCTTCGGTCAGGTCTTCTTTAATCTGCCAGTCACGTTTGTATACGACTTTGTTCGGACTGTTCTTGTCATATTGAACTAAACCTTCTCCTCGTGGTCGATGATGAGAGTTTTTCCACAGCTTGCGGTTGAATCGAATCTTCGGGCGAAAAAGCGGTGATCGGAACCAGTACAGAATGACGGGACTACCGATGTGTCAAATAGACAGCATCTTCTATTTGTCGGAGTATGGTCGATCTCCGCATGAGTCATGCCGTTGGGAGACTCCCATGTCCAGCGGCAGCTTTCTTTCTTCTGGAAAAAGGAGTCCATGGAAGAGACGTGCTGCTGACAGGAGTCCTGCGAGACGGTTCCCATTTTCTATTCTTTCTCCTAATCCAGAATTTCCGATCCTGTATTCGCTTTCGTCGGTTTTTCCTATTCTGGCGTTGAAGTCTCCAACAACAAATTTATGTATGCTTTATCATTGCGGATGACTTCCTCCAACTGATAGTAGAACGCATTTCATTCGTACTCATCAGCTGCGTCGGTCGTTGAGTAGGAGTTGATGATAGTGATCTTCTTATGATGCGACAGTTGAATACGGAGGACGGCTATGCGAGGGGAAAGGATCTCGTATGAGTCGTCGGGATGGACGATGGATGGGTGGACGACAAAGCCTACGCCGCCGACATTTCGTGACGGGACATTTTCTCTACGGATCACAAGGGTCCCGTTGTTTAGTTGGCGTTTGTCGGTCTTCTTGATGTGATAATATTTGTTCTTTAAGGTTCGTGAACAAAGTGCGCGACCAGAGTGTTTAGTGGCGAACCGAGTACTGCCGAATCCTGTACTTCGTCCTGATTGGACTATCTCCACTGATGGTGTTCCCATTTCTGCTGGGACGGCGAAACTTTTAGTCGACACGAGAAGTATCATTCACAGGCAAGTTTTTGAAATCTTCGCCTTATTAGTCTCCTATTTAATTTTGCTGAAAGAGTGGTGTAAAGCCTCGGAGGTTAGAAAAGCTTTATTTCTTACTGTACTGTTTTTGGTAAATACAATAAATCTGCGGAACTGAAGCAAGAAAATGACTAATGTTAATAAATTGTTAGTGTTGAATTGTTGATGATTTCGATGCTACTTGATTGTCTGTCTAGTAGTTTATTGTTGTCCTTAAATTTATACCTTTATTTATTTCATCTTTCCTTTCAAATTTCTTTACATCACGCGAGTTCTGTCTGTACTTGCCGGAAATAGATTGAGTTACCATAAAGCCAAAGTGAATCCATTGTAGATACATTTGCTGGGGAAAATAAACAGAATTTCTTCCCATGAGTTTTACCACGTATTGAAGTCTTACATCAGTTCAGTCTTCCTGTACCTGGCTCGTCGATTCGTCTTGTTTATGACTCGAACAGAGTATCGGCTTCGAAGTCCACTCTCGTTATGGGGCTTCTTCGTGATGAACTGGACCGCGATGTTCGACTTGTACATGTAGTCGTGGATATTGCTGGAAGAACATTTAAGAAAAGGTAATTTTTCCTTTTCCTTTCTCAGATTTTTAGACTAAGTTGTGCTGCTTCTATCTATTAAAAGTTATCTTCTTTAATTCGATGTATGTAATTTTTTGACAGTTTGATTTTAGTAGTCTTGGTTGTGAACTAAATTGTAATCAATGACAACAAGTAAAGTTTTTCGTTATGATGAGTTTATGTCTTATCCAGACTGGTACCACGTGAAAATTTGACGTATGTGTGGTCATGGGATAAACTCAACGTTTACCGACAAAGCGATCATGGAATGGTTGCAGCTAATGGTGCTCTTATTCTAATATTCCTATTTTCTTGTGGTAGCAATGCGCTATTAGCTACCTCTAAAAATTACTGATATCTCACTTCCTTTAGTCCGGATCGGTTATGAATATCGCGGATGCACCAGGACGTCGGAGATTGCATGGATCAGTCGTCGCGTGCACATGGAAGGTGCCCGAACACGTCGCCTTGAAGGTGGAGCTTGGAGTGTTGATATCCACCACTATTTGGATGTTATCAATGGTATATATCTTTGCGAATTAAACATGATTACCTGGCGTTTTTATTTCACCGTTGCTTTGTACTAGGCGTCCTTGAAATGGGTAATGGTGGACGACGGTTCATCGCGAATAACGTGCCGAACATGGAGTTGTTGGTGGGCACTGGCAAACGTCGCAGGCTTGATTGTGAGAATTGTAATGGAGTAGCTAGTGAGGTAACAGTTTCTATGAGCAAGATGGTAGCTAGGCTATTGGTGCTGAATGCAGGTTCTACGACTAATACTTTTTATTGAGCATCTCATAAAGGGGCATGAAGATCATCGCGCAACTTTGGATGCATGTTTTGTAGTTCTTATTGTGTCTATCGTGTTTTATTTACTAAACAGGTAACTTTTTGACCATCTACTACTTGATTTTAGAGTGCACTTTTTCGCCCATCCACTCTAGCCCATGGACTAGATGGAAGCCTCTTTATAGGTGATCACAATTTTGTGAGGCGCTTGAAACCCGACGGGCAAATCCTGAGCGTGTTATCACTAAGGTGAGCACCCGAATATGTTATTCGCCTTGTCGTTCTTAATGAAGTTCATTTTACAGCCTTCCGGACACCACCTATCCTTACTACTTGGCGGTTAGTCCAATAGATGGTTCTTTAGCCATATCTCTTCCGTTGCATAAGCAAATATGGAAAATTACTTCTCATTCGCCAACAGACCCAACATCAAATCATGAGGTGGGTGCTCAGATATTGTTAGAGTGTGAAGAGTTTGATTATACTGAATTTGTAATATCCGATGTGTCAGTGAAGCAGAATTGTTTTCTTGTGTTAGTTTTAGTGGAATGAGGGATCATTTGTCCACTTATTATTGTAGTTTCTTAATCTAGTTCTTTTTCCAAAAGGTGGTCATTTTTATGAATCGTCGTTTAAGTGGAAAGCTTTACGAGTTCAGAAGTTACTTTGATAATTCTGTTATTTTGAAGTAAGCAAAATGATACTGAAACCCTTTTGTCATTGAAACCATGTTCTTAAAGGTATTGGCTGGAGATGGTACAGCTTGTCCTTCAGCGGCAGACGCTTGTGGTGACGGTGGTCCAGCCATCGATGCCCAGCTGTTCTTTCCGAAAGGCCTTGCTTATGATGCTGAAGGAGATTTGTATGGTATGCTTGTCTTGTTTTGTTATCGTGTTAGGTAGTGCTAAAAATTGCTATGATATTTGTGGTTAGAGGTAGAGTTTTGACGAACATAAAGTAAGATGAAGGAATGTATGGTTTAATGAAAAAAAATTTTGTCTTATGTGTTATTGAGTGGTTCAGTAACCGACGGACGTCGTTTGAGAGTGATTGACGCGTCAGGAAATATTCGCTCTATTGGCGATTCATCATACGACCATGTACCATCATGCGACCGGACAGTGTTCCCTTTGGCCAAGCTTCAGGTGGATGAATTATCTTCGTTTTATAGAACTGAGCTCTACTTTTGTTTTTTCCTCTATTCGAGCTAATGTAAATAGGTGACTACAGAATAAGAATCTTGATGTTAGTAGCTCTTCAAGAAAATACTGAAATATTGAAGTAAAACGGCTAGTTCTATTACACAAACGAAGTTTTTCACTTGCAGCTCCATTGGCCCACATCGCTTTCAGTACATTTACCAACTGGTTATATATTTGTATTGGACTCAAATGTCGTTTATCAGATTGATCGCCAACAAGACATGGCTGAGATAATAATTGGTATCTTTTTTCTAGCAGTCATCTACACGTACATCGTGTTTTATTAGTTCCTAGCTAAATAATTTGAATAGTTTAAAACTAAATTTAAATAGCTTGAATTCATTGACAAACTGTCATCAAGGAGTGGAGCCTAGTATTGTTATGATCCACTTTCTAAGCTTTAGGTGCTTTAACGACCTGCCAGAACTCCTCGCGATATATAATGCGGCATGCTCGTGATATCGCGGTGGACACTCACGGATCGCTTTATGTACTAGAATCAGACGGGAAAAAGTTGAATCAGGTGTGCTTTATGATTTTTGTCAGCTGTTAACCAATTAACAGTTCAATTCAGCCTACAAAATTTTGTTAAAACATAGCATCTAGATTCGTCGTCTTTCCGCTGACCGAATGATCTTCTCCGTGTTTGCTGGTCAGAAGACGACGTGCTCGTGCGACAACGCGGCGTGTGGTTGCGACGACGCAGCGACACCAACGGCGATGATTTCGGCGAAAATGACACTCTTCAATGCTCCGTTGGCCGTTAGTGTGGACGCTGTTGGTCATGTCTATGTGGCGGATACGGGTAATCTGAAAGTGAAGCGAATCGTAGCGAGAACTGCACGGTACGATACCGTTACGCGTCAATATCATGTAGTTGACGGTGATAGAAATGAGGTAAGTGGTGGCGAATTACAGTTACAAACTTTTAGAATATCTAAAAAGAAGAAGGTAACTCGTTAGCAGAGGGTGACTATTATTAGCGTTTTGTAATGTCTTGTCGAGGAGGGTGTGGTAGCGCAGTGGTTAGTGATGCACTCAATCAGGAAGCAAAATCCTAGCTTAACCCCTAACGCCATCCCCCAATCAAAATGGGAACGCTTTAGCTCGGATAAATATGAGGAGAACAAATCGAACGCAGCTAGTGCTGGGATCCGCACGTTAGATGTGAAGATGGGTTATGTAAAATTGGTACAAACAAATGTTTTGTTCGTATAGCTCATAAGAATTGTTTTTTCTCTATACATCGGATATTTTAGCTCTTCCTGTTCAACCGTTATGGCCTTCATACATCAACTCAGTCATTGGTCACGGGGGCAGTGCTGTATAATTTTACTTATAATGTGGACACCAGGTTTGTCAGACTCTTTAGTGTTCTTTTGTAATAATTTATTTATCCTGTGACTTGGGTAACAGCATGGTGTTAGTCTGGCTTGCGACATTAGGCCTTACGACTACCTCACCTTCTTTGAGCCATGGATTTTTAATTCCAGCCTTGGACAGCTCACTTCCATACAAGGAGCTGGGGGCTATCTGTTGCGATTCATACGCCTAAATGATTCCCACTGTACAATTGAAGCTCCATCCGGACAAAGAACCATGATGGTGACGAGCATTTATGATGGGGTTATCGAGAGCATGCAAACTGGAACGGCAGGTGAGTGTATTTCGTTATTTTTTGAGAAATGTTAAACCACTATTCTTTTTTGCTAGCATGTGGATTAGGAAATGAAATTGTGCTGCTTGTGTTTTTCCTAGAGAAAACTGATAATGGAAATCGATAAAGAACATGGTACTGCATTGCTTTGGCGGACGAATCACTTGCCGGTAGTCAGTTTCTAGAATTGATTTCCAGATCCTGTGCGTTTGAACTATCTTCCCGGTGGTTTGCTAATTTCTCGGACGCAAGGCGGCTCCAGTTCTGTTTTTGAGTATAACGATAGAGGGCAAGCAGTGGCTATACGAAGAGATGGCGAGGAATTTCGCCTGGCCGATGAACAGGTTTGAGTTGATCAAGAGCACTGCACCAAATGTAATTGGATCAGCCGTGAGGTATTTCAACTATTTAGTTTTCTTTTAAATCAAGGTGTCAGATGGCCGTGTTACGATAGGAGTGCTTCGAAATGGTGTTGAATATGCTACGTTTACATCACGTGTAGCAGAAGTGGTGTATGAAGGTTTGTCCTTTTTCTTTCGGTCTGTACATATCTTATTTAGCCAAGGATTTTAATTCAAGTGTAGCTCATAATTTCTGCTGAGAACGAAGATTATTTATACAATTGTCTAATTCCTTTTCAAGACTCTTCACCATCGCGTATTATCTACATGGACGACGGTTTCTCCATAACTCATAATGGAATAACATCATTGCTGGATGCACAGACGCATCCAGCGCACGGTGAGACGAGCATACTGAAGATGAAAACAACTGTTCACGCGATACAGGTAGGTAGGAACTTCCGAGTTAGTGTATTTTTGGAATTCGACGTCTTGATGTAATACACTGCCTCAGGATCCTGCACGGCGCTCTCTGACATCGCACTTTGACTGGCGTCCCTTTGTCAAACGTGGTGGAGCCGAACGAAGATTAGCGGAGGTTGGCGCTCGACCAAGGGTTAGTCCGCAGAGGTGGTTATGGACTGGTAGTGCTTGATTTGACTTCCATATGCTATTATGCACAGAAAACTCTGACCTCTCTCAAGTTCATTAATCGCATGATGTCTGGGTATTAAGAATACTCACCTGTTACGATGTTACCCATCACCCTGTAATCCTATTAGTAATACTACTAATCATCAAATTCACATGGACACTAGACATTTCCATTCATTCCTGACAAAAAATCTGGGCTTCACGCACAATAATATCATCCACCTTTATTTTTGCTGTTTTTAGTGGGAATATACTTACTAATTGCTCAGCAGTATATGTTATGACGTTATCCATCTGTAGGGTCAGATCTTCCATAGGAGAAATGCATTAATTGCATTTCGTTATGTTCGCAAAGCTAATATAACCTCTGTATCCTAACTTCTAACATTTCATTAACAGTCCATATATCGCCTGTGTGTTAGCTAATCCATGGTCTGTTGGCTCATTCGATCCTTGTAATACTGGGTTCTCTCCTAAACTTACTTAGTCGTGCTATAGGTGAACGGCGTGAACGCATTCACGGTAACATTCGATCGTATCGCAAAAAGCGACGTTATCAGTACAAAGTCGGAAGAAGCAACCTTGCGTTTGACATACATGGATAGTGGAGAATTGCAAACAATTGCTCAAGACGCAGCAGTGGACATGGATCCAACCTACCGATTGCCAAAACTCGTCGTTCACTACGACTCACTGGGCAGGAGGTTCGGATGCTTACTTACTGAGACTTGAAGAACATGTATTGTCGTCAGTGCTTGCACTATTGGCTTCATTTGTTTACTCATGTATTCAGATGTGCTAAAGATTACAACCCTTCGAATTGGTTGGACATAAATGCAGAAGGGAATTTTAGGTAATGTCTTCGAACTGATTGTGTTATCTGCATTTGCAGGAATGAGATCGTCTGGGGTAACCGAAGCATTCAAGTGACATATGACCGTCAAAATCGTATAGTAGAACGATCAGTTCGTGATGGAGTGACTACTAAATACGCATACAGCAAAGATTTTCGGCATCCAGCTATGGTCCAGTTTCCTGGAGACTTGAAGTACTTACTGAGGGTAGGTATTTGTCGGGACTACTCAGTGAACAGTATTTGTATCCTTTTTTCTCACAGTTTTTTTATGAGCCAATAAGTGACACCAAACTCTCTTGAAAAGGCGTAATTCTCACAAAATGCAATTATTCTTAACAATACATTTTTTAGCGATTTACCTGTGTATTTTCCTCTGTTTATTGCTGGTACTGCGGTGAAGCTTTTCTCATAATTGCTTCACTTGAGGGATCCACAATGGTTTTTGAATTAAAAAGCAGAATGCTGGCTTTATTTTAGTTTAGAAAGCAAAATTTCGTTGTGTGGTTTACACATGTATGAACAATAGCCCATTAGATTGCCACCTAAAACTCTAGCACTGTTTTTGATGCCAGTGAGAACAACGAATCTTCACGATATTTTCCAGTACGATGCTCGTGGAGGTCTGCGAGAGGTGACAACCCCGTTTTCCGAAACGCACCACTTTGCTTCAACACCATTTGGAAATGGTAGAGTAGTGAAGAGACGGTAAGGCTTCTACTTAAAAATCAATAAACACATGATCATTACCGTTTCGTTGGATATGTTTTTCGTTATCGGTGATGGTCCTCAACATAACGAGATTTGCAAGTGAACAACTGTAAGAGATTGAGTTAAAAAAAGTTTCTTGAGGCACAATTACACCTTTTTTGAATAGTTTGCATTTTTATCCCACACTAAAATAAACATATGTCCAAGAATAACCATGAATCTTTCGCGTATGTCTGTGTAAAGTGCCAGTGTAGGCACACAGAATGCTGATGCTTCTTCGACACCACTGTATCTTTTCGTACTGAATGCGATTACCGCTCTCTCTGTGCGTAGGTTCGGTTCAGCCACAAACTAGAAAAAAACTCATTTTTTGGCCGTGTTGGGGAAAAAAGACACAATAGTACATGAGAAGAACATTCGGAGTAGTACTTCCTTTGTATGACTATGGCCACAGATCGGATCTTGAGCCGGTTAGTCGCGAGGCTACGTGGCGCGTCTCCAGATGGCGGATAGGGGGTTAATCGCGGACCAAAGACGACCTTTCCTTCCCTGAGACGCAGGTGAATCCAGGGGATTGACTCCCTTTGCGCCAATTTGGAGCATGCTCTTTGTATTTACGAGGAATATTCATGCATGCGAGTGTGGGTGCGTTCTAGTTTATGCGGAGTGTGTTCCACGAGCTAATTCGCTCAAAAGCCTGCAATCAAGTGACTGGGAAGTATATGGGAGGCGGTTAGGAGTCGCCTCCAACAAGTAAGCTCCATGTCCACCCTGGGAGAGCCTGGCAAGCTACCCGTGAGTATACCCAGCTCCCACGTTCAGAGCTTAGTAAGCTATACGTGGGTATCAAAATGCTGAACACAGTAAGAAAAACGGGCATCATTCCCCTCACCCGGAAAAACACCCAATTCGACAGCGTTGGGTAGAACGAGTACGGAGAGCCGTTTAAAATCTCAGGACCAGTGGAAACTGTCTGGATTACAAAGAACTAAGGTGACAATCTGTACCTACAATGCACGTACACTTGCATCTGAGTCCTCGATAGAAGACGCTCATACAAACAAGAAGGATAAAGTACGATGTCATCGGCCTGGCCGAGACGAGACGACTCCACCGATTCAACGCCGTCTATGACACCGCAGTAGAACTGTTCCTCGGAGCATTCGACAATAGAAAAGTCGACGGCGTCAGCGTTCTCGCCAACACGAGTTTGTCCATAAACATTGATTCATTCGAACAACACAAGTTGGACGTTTCAGACTGAAAGATTTGGATCAGTACCGGGTTTTACAATCTACTTCGTTTATGCGCCGGCATCGAACTATGACGAAGAAGAAGTCGAAGTGTTCTACATGAACTTGGAGAAGTTCTGCAACGTCAGAAGAGTGTCACATTGGGACGCATGGATTAGAATGGAACGAACAACGTGAGCGGCTGTTTGAGTTTATGATGACGGCAAAGAAAATTGGTAACTCGCAATTCCAGAAGCCCAGCTCTCAGCGCTGGACGTGGTAGTCTACCAATGAGGAGTACTATAACGAAATAGACCACATCATAGTAAATAGGTTTTGCCTAACCGATGCCGCTGTTGTCCCAAAATTTTACACGGGATCAGCCCGTCGTCTCCTTTCTGCAACATTCTATTTTTCGCGGAAGGGAGAAAAAGCCGCTAAATTCCATGACCGAAGTCTCAGAACCACCGTTAACTGGGATTTATTCAATTCAATTAGTCGGCTGTTGGGAGGATGCCGTTGTCGAGAACATCGACGAAGAATACGATCGGATCATCATCTTCACGTTAGCGCTATGAAAGCTGAGAGTTCGAAAGTCACCAAGAGACGTCTGCCTCCAGAAACACTCGAGCCGATGCACCAGCGTGGAATCGCATGAGCTGCAGGCGACCGCGAACTAGCGTCCGAACTTGCAAAATAATGCAGACAGGTGATAAAAGCAGATCTTAAAGAGAGAAGATCAGCAGTAATGGTCGAAGCTGCATAAGCTGGGAAAAGCATTCGCAAAGTTCAACGAAACTTCGCCAATTAGAAGACAGAGATAATTGCACTACGACGCCCAGACGGAACAGTAACAGCGTTCAGAAAAGCAATGGAGATAATCATTCACGAATACTACTAAGATCTCTTCGATAGCCACGTCGACCTTCCGTCATATGAAATAAAGGAGGATGGATATGTTATACCACCGGTTCTCCTTTCCGAAATCCGACATGCCTTTCGGTGAAAAATGGAACAGCACCAGGTCAGGACAGGATAAGACCAGAACACCTGGAGAACTTTCCGCCAGTCCTCCTAAACACACTGGCTCGGCTCTTCACACGTTACCTGTCTGAATGCAAGGTCCCTGCTCAGTGGAAGACGAGGAAGACCGTGTTATTGTTCAAGAAGGGTGACCTGCACGATATCGGCAACTATCGCCCAATCTGCTTGCTGTTTGTCGTCTACAAACTTTTCACTAGAGTCATCCTAAACAGGATTGACAGAGCACTAGACGAAGGAGAGTTATGTGAGCAAGCAGGGTTTCGAAAAGGATTTAGTATGATGAACCATATCCACACGGTAACAAGGTTCATTGAGATATCGCGAGGGTACAAATGACCGCTCTGTCTCACTTACATCGATTTACAGAAAGTCTTTAATTCAGTTGAAATAGAAGCAGTCTTGGAAACCCTTGATAGTCAAGGAGTCCCTACTCCTTACATAAAGATTTTTCGTGACCTGTACGAAAATTTCATAACCAAGGTATCACCATTCTACAACGGTATTGACATTGATTT